TCTTCCCGCCTGCTCTCTCCTGAAGGCAGCCAGCTCTGGGAACACAGGAAGACATTTCCTGGCCCTCCAGGGTCCAGGTGGAGCAACCAGTCTCGTTTTGCTACTGGAATGTGGCCAGGGTTGAGGTGGGCCATGTACAGGCCTGCCCGCAGAAGAGCCAAATGACTTTTCAAGCTGTCTCTTCCCAGCCTGTGAGACCAGAGACGAAGGACTTCAGGTAGTGGTACCACTTCTGGGACAGCTGCTCAGAAGGGACAAGGTTGCTACATGATTTGGCATCCGATTCAGTCAAGGTTGCCAGACCTCAAAAGTGAACATACAGGACACGCCCAAGTAAATTTGAATTTCAGATCAACAGCAAATCCTTCTTTAGTATAAGTATGTTCCGTGCAATACCTGGACATACCCTGTAAAAGTATTTGTTGTTAATATGGAATTCAAATTGAGCTGCATCTTATCCGGTGCAATATTGTGATTTATAAAATAGTTGTTCTTCACCAATAGTTCCTGGCTCACAGTTCCCCAAACCCTTGGAATGTCCTAAGTGTTAAGAATAAAATAGATGTATTTTGTTAAGGGGTGACTTTAGATCCTGTCCAAGAGTGGCAGCTGGTTGTCAGGAGAACCAACCCTATGATGAAAGGGTTGGAACTTTCAGTCTCATCCTTCCCACCCCTCCAGGAAAGGAGCAGGGGCTGGAGGTTGAGTCCAACCTCCAGTGGCCAACGACTTAGTCAATCATGACTATGTAGTTATCCACAAAACCCAGGACGGCTCGTTGGCCCTTTTTTGGAGCTGATATGTTGAAGAACCAGAATGTTTCCCAAGCTCCTTCACTGTGGACCTCACTCTATTTCTTCATCTGACTATTGATTTGTATCCTTTATTTTCATTAGTAATAAATAGTAATCTAATGAGTAAACAGGTTTTCCTGATTTCTGTGAGCCATTTTAGCAAATTAACTGAACCCGATTCGGGGGTTGTGGGAATGTCTGATCTATAGTGGGTTGGTCAGAGGTACAGGTAACAACCTGGACTTGGAATTGCCATCCCGAGTTGGAGGGGGTCAGAGCCTGGACTTGTGGTTGGCAATGGAATGTCTGTGTGTGGGGCAGTAGTGGGACTGAAACTTTAACCTGTGCTGTGGAGTCTAATCCCCTGGTAGAGAGTGTCAGAATTGAGTTTAATTCTCAGACACCCTGCTGGTGTCTAAGAATTGTTTGTTGATGTGGCAGAAGCCAAACCCAACTTGGGACGGGGTCCAGGAACCCTATTCATCTTTCAACCCCAGTCTCACTATATCACATCCTTGCTGTGAACGCTGTTTAATTAATTAATTAATATTGAGAGGCAGGGGAGAGAGAGAGAGAGATCAATGTGAGAGAGAAACACCGATTGGTTGCCTCCCATATGGGCCCCAACCAGGGACCAAACCCTCAACTTAGGCATGTGCCCTGACTGGAAATTGAACCCACAACCTTTTGATGTATGGGACAATGCTCCAACCAACAGGGTCACACTGGCTAGGGCCATGTTCACTCTGTTTAGAAGTCTCTTTCCTATTATCTCCACAAATCAAAATTATTTCCATCCTTCAAATCCCTGCCCAAATGCCACTTCTCTCATGAAGCTGCCACCAATAGTCCTTCCTGTGTAGAATAACTCTTTCATGGCCCTTATCCACTAGGTCCATCACACAGTTTACTACAAGTCTTGCTCTTTTAGACCATATTCTTTTCTGGAAGGATTTGAGAGAACAACTTCTTGTTATAATAAACAGGAAATGCAGTACAAGATTCCACTGAAACTCGAACAGTTGAAAGAATATGGTTGAACTTAAACTCTCAAGGGAAATAAGAGGGTCAAACAAAGCCAATATATGGAGAAACCCAAGATTGGTTTGGGATAAACATAAGAATTGCATTCAACATGGGTATCTTCTAACCCTTCCCTAGCATGTATCTGCTGTAGTTCTCCCATCCCTTTCCCTTCTGATGGTTCTGCTTAATCAAATGGCTTTTCCCTCTCTATTGCAGGTATACGTCAAACCAATAGTGCCCCTTTAGACACGATGCAAAACCAAGAGGAAAGTTTATAAATCTTATTCCAGGGTAGAAAGTGTGCACACACCCAACCCAGTCCACATTATGTGGTGTCAATGTACATGGTAACAGTTTTACTCAAATGAGAGCTGCTAGCCCATATAACCTATTATGTGTTCCTAATTTACTATACTAAAATATCAACATGGCAGAATTTATTTTTGAACTCCAGATTTTCTAAACACTTCTAAGTGGCGATTAAAATGATGTAGAACAGAATTGTGTCTCAGAAACCTAAGCATTAGGGAGGAACATTGATGGACTCTTTCTGGGAACTTTTCAGGGGGTACAGAGATAAACAGGAGATGGTAGAATGTCAGAGCATATATGGTAGGTGAGGGGAGGCAGAGGCAGAGAGAGAGTCAACAAATGCAAAGAGAAGTCTGCGGGAAGAGGGGGAAAGAAAACCCCAAACAACAAAATGAAACCAAACTCAAATCATAGGAAAAAAAGGTTTCATACAACACAGTATCAAAAAAGTAAAAGGAACACACTAAATGCACAAACTGGTGGCAAGTCCATAGCTTATGTGATAATATTTAGAGAGAGGAAGGCAGAGAGGGAGAGAGAAAGGGGGGGGGAGGGAGAGAGAGAGGGAGAGAAACATCAGGTAGGTTTCTTCTCATCTGTTATCTAAAGGTTTTACAGAGGTGATAACTTTAACAATAATCTCTCCAAGGTGGGCAGGAAGGCTTCAGTCATTGGTTTTAGGATCTGTTTTTGCCATGTAGGCATCCAACTCAGCATCCCAGTGTCCTTTTGTTTTCGACATGTATGCATCCAGTTGGCTGTCTAGCTGCTCCTTGGTTAGTATAGGGCAAGCAACAGCATCTCCCTCTTGTCCACAGCCTCAGCCTCAGCCTCCAAAGCCTTCTCTTCCCCAACATTTCTTACCCCTACTTCTACTGCCAATTCCGCCGTGATCCATAGCTCCATGCTCTTGAGCCTCTCTCCCAAGGACCTCCGTGACTTCAAACACCACGTCTCCTTTAAGCCCATTGGGGGAGCTATGGCTTGTCCACTTAAGAGAAGGCTTTGACCTCAGAGTGACATCCTGCCCCTAAGTAGGGTTCTCATAACATGTCCCCATGTAGTCCTCCTCTGGGCAAGCCTCTCTAGATTATGGCCAGGCCTCTATAGGGTGCCTGTATGTTACTGTCACCCAGGTGCTGCTTTAAACTCGTAGCTGCATGGCACCACCTTGCAGAGGCCCAGCCCTTGGACATACCCTTCCACACCCACTGTCTGGACTTGCATGTAAAGTCTGCTTAAGTTTTAATGCTGCTGAGACAGAGGGTCTATTCTCCATCTGCTGGGCCAGTCTTCTGTTTCTGGCACTGGCTCGCCACTGTTGTTGCTGCACGGAAGCCCAAATATTCACTGGCATCAGCTATGTTTTCCTCAGCATATAAGCAAAGTGCTCATTTAGAGACATCTTGGTGGTAATTTTTAGCACAAATTTTGGTGCTGCCTGTGCAGCCATCTTCAAATTCTGAGGATCAAAGGAAAAGGATGCCAGAGTTCCTCTTGAGGGTGTCATCATGGCAGCAGCAGGCGGGTCGGGCTGGCCGCTCTTGAGTTGACAGTGGATTGGGTTAATTGAGTTGAGCTTGGGTTAACTTGGTTGGTGGTTGGTTAGACGCGTAAGTGGTCGACTGCTAGGTTAGCTTGTTGGCTGGCTGACTGGTCAGCCTGTCTGCCTGCTCGCCCGGCCTGCCCTATCCTGCCTTTCCTCTGTCCTACCACAGCTGCTGCCTCCTGGCCATGCAAACCTAGACCAGATTCCTGAAGGCAGAGATATTCTTTCTGCAGTGCTCCTTGCTTATACCATCCATTCGTTCAACAGGTTTACAGAGGGCCTACACTGTGCCAAACACAAACAAACATAAACACTGATCTTACAGTGAGTTTTACAGTTTTGTAGGAAAGACAAGTTTTATTCAAACAGTCATGAAAGTTACATGAAGGAATATTACAAAGTGCTATGAGAGAAGGTCCTTTAGACTGGGATCAGGGAAGAGTTCTCTGGGAGGATGACATTCAGCGACCAGTAGAAATAAGAGTAAACCACATGACAAGACAAGAAGAGAAGTTTCCAAGAAGACAGAGGTAGAAGAACATTTGGTCTGTTTGAGGAACTGAAAGAAGGTCCGTGACATGAAGTGTGACATAGAGAGGGGGCTTTTTACACTGATGCCCAGGAGGCAGGCTGGGCTTTGTGGACTTGTAGGCAGCCTAAACCTGAGTTTTATCTTAAGTGAAGGATTATGAGCCAGGGAGGGACACAGTCTAATCTGTTATAGGCTTTTTTCAGGCTGCTACTTGAGAATTATATGAAGGGAAATACAAAAATGGAAGCAGAAAGACCAGTTAGAGGCTGTTAGAGTAATTCAGGCAAGAGAGTGGCCAAGTTTACTCTTGAAAAGTGGTCACACACTATTTCCGGTCCCACCTGCTGTTTCAAAACTTGACCACTCTCTGTGAAGAGGCGGAGTCTGTTTCCTTCCCCTTAAACCTTAAACCCAGATTGTTGGGTTTAAAATTGTTGGTCAGCCTCGACAAATGGGATGTGGGGAAGTGAAAGTGCTTGATTCTCAGCTAGGTTAGAAAGGCGACCAACTTCTGCCTGCATGTACACATACCCCTTCCCCGCAATCCCATATGCTCACCCTGGGAACCAGCCTCCACCCTATGAAGCTCACAGTAGTCTGTATGGAGAGAGCTCTGGGAGAGCCCATGTGAAAACCTCAGGCTCTAAATAAGAGCAGAATGGACTGCCAGACACAACTGCGACCCCAGTCACTGTGGAGCAGGTGTGAGTTACCCTTGTCATGCTGTGTCTCAATTCCTGACCCACAGAATTCATGAGCATGTTTTACCATCTTAAATTTTGGGGTCATACTCTGGTTTCTCTTCAAATCAAGTAAATCTTTCACCTTTTACTAAAGATTTCTGTGGAGAGGAACAACTCAGAGTCTTAACCCAATTTTTTGAGGCCTTGTTTTGGCAAGGCAAAAGAAAAAAAATTCTATGTCAGATGTTATGCAGCCACAACACCTGAAACAAGAGGACATTGGCCGGAACTTATGTAGTGACAGTGGATGTGGAAAAAAGTGGACCTATTTGAGATGCCAAAAGGAAATAAAATTAACAAGACAGTCCTGGAAGGGACAGATAACTAACTTCTCAATTATGAAGGTTTGAGGGAAGGCCCAGATGGAATACATTTTTAGAAATCTTTCTTTACATTTTTAATGATGCATTTCATCTTGAGAGCTTTGTTCATTTGGTTTAATAACCTGATAAACTTTAATAAACATTAGTAAATGTTTACTATGGTCTTATCCTCTTGTTGGGGTCTTCCCTTTATCATTAAGTAGTGTCCTTCCGTGTCTCTTACATAGCCTTGGTTTTAAAGTCTATTTTGTCAAATACAAGTATTGCTACCCCAGCTTTTTTTCCCTTTCCATTTGCATGAAATATCTTTCCATCCCTTTACTTTTAGTCTGTGTCTGTCTTTCAATCTGACATGGGTTTCTTGGAGGCAACATATATATGGGTCTTGTTCTTTATCCATTCAGCTACCCTATGTCTTTTGGTTGGAGCATTTAAGCCATGTACTTTTAAGGTGATTATTGACAGATATGTAATTTAGTACCATTTTATTGTTAGACTACTTCCCTCTTTTTTTTTTCTCTTCCTCCTCTTAAAGCAAGCCCTTTAACATTTGTTGCAGTACTGGTTTGGTGTTAGCAAACTCCTTTAGCTTTTTCTTGTCTGGGAAGCTCCTTATTTCTCCTTCAATTTTAGATGATAGCCCTGCTGTATAAAGTAGACTTGGTTATAGGTCCTTGCTTTTCATCACCTTGAATATTTCACACCATTCCCTTGGGGCCTGAGATGTAACTGTTGAGAAATCAGACGACAGTCTAATTGGTGCTCCCTTGTCTGCAACTACCTGCTTTTCTCTTGCTGCTTTTAGGATTCTCACCTTGTCTTTAAGCCTTGCCATTTTAATTATGATGTGCCTTCGTGTCTGTCTCTTTGGGTCCAACTTGTTTGGTATCCTCTGAGCTTCCTGGACTGGTGTGTCTTTTCCCTTCACCAAATTAGGGATGTTTTTTGGTCATTATTTCTCCAACTATGTTGTCAATCCCTTGCCACTCTCCTCTCCTTCTGGCATTCCCATGATGTGGATGTTGTTATGCTTCATGTTGTCCCAAAGGTTTCTTAAGCTCTCCTTGTTTTTAAAAAATCTTTTTTCTTTTCATTGCTCTGCTTGGGTGTTTTTTTCTGCCTTGTTTTCCAAATCATTGATTTGATCCTCTGCTTCATCTACCCTGTTTATTCTTTTTTCCTGTGTATTATTTATTTCAGATATTGCCCTCCTAACTGGTCCATTTTGTATGGTTTCTATGTCTTTTTTCATGCTATTGAGTATCCTTATAATCATTGCTCTAAACTCTCTGATAAGTTGTTGTCTCCATTTCATCTAATTCTTCTGGAGAATTTTCTTGTCCTTTCATTTGGGGTCTGTTTCTTTGTCTTCCCATTTTGGCTGCCTTGTTGTGTTTGTTTCTATCTATTAGGTAGATCTGCAAAGACTCTGGTGCGGACCTATGTCAGATGCTGACTGTGATGGGCCCTGGGCAACCTGTTCAGAGCTATTAGGGATCCATAGCTTGTGGCTCCCTCTGCTGGGCCTAGGTATGTGCAGAAAGAACCAGGCTGCACACCAAGGCCGGTTCTTACCAACACCAGGCCCAGTAGAGGGTCAGCTCAAGTCTCAGAGTTTCCAGAGATTCACCTCTGCCTGCAGGCTTTCTGCACAGGTGTCTAACCCATGGCCTGCAGGCTGCATGTGGCCCAGGATGGCTGTGAATGTAGCCCAACACAAAATCATAAATTTACTTAAAATCTTTTTTTGCTCATCAGTTTTCATGAGTGTTTGTGTATTTAATGTTTGCCTCAGGATAATTCTTCTTTCAATGTGGCCCAGAGATGCCAAAAGATTAGACACCCATGCAAGGGTTAATCAGTGAATGTCTTCCATCTGTACTCCTCAGCATCAGGGCATAAGCACCACAGGATGAGGCAGAGTAATTTCTGCAGGCAGGGCTATTGCTTCCCCTCAGGCTGATGTCATCTGGAGAGGAGTGCTCTGCCTGAGCAGGGTGGCCTCTGCAGTATGGGGAATGACTAAACACAGGGATCTTGGTGGCTGTTCCCTCAGTTCTCACCCCAGAGCCACCAGCCCCGGATTCTCCTCATGTCACTAGTCCACTCTGCCTTCCCTTTGCTGGAGTCCGGGATAAGTGGCTGCAAATGGAATTTTGTGTATTGGCCCTTTATGAGGCTCTCTGTGTCTCCAGCTCTCTCTTCCTGGTAGACAGAAACCCTGCTGCTTTTCACAGCCCTATGTTATTTGGGTTCCTTTCCCAGTTCTGGTGCTATAGGCTAGGGATCCCAGCTTGGGGTTGAGACCCCACACTTCTCTGGGGGAACCCTCCAGCTGCTGAAATATCCCTCCAGGACTTCAGCTGCTGCCTTTGGGAGCCCAGCCAGCCCACTTGTGCCTTCTCTGTAGTCCCTACCAATCACATTGTGGTGATGTGGCTTCTTCCATCTGTCTGTGGTTATAAGGCTTCTCTCCAGCTAGTGTTCAGTTGATTATTCAGGATGATTTCTCTACAATTCAGTTGTAATTCCAGATGGTCCTGGGAGGAGGTTAGTGTAGCTTTCACTTATTCCTCTGCCATCTTGGGTCTCTCTCAGGGATTTGTAAAATTTGATTTGTTTTCATTAATTAATATGTTGACATGGATAAATATTGAAACCAAGTTTTCTTTTTGATAAAGAAAACGGAATCACCTGAGCACTAAGAGGGGGAGTTCCCGAGGAAGGAAGGAGAAAGAAATACAGATGGTGCCTCCATAACTACTCTGGTGTCAGCCCTTCCTCCCAACCTTGATGCTGTTCATGGTGATGGTGCTGGTGCTATTGTTATTAATGACACCAATGGCTAACATTCATGGTGCCAGGCATCACAGGCATTAGCCCATCTCATCCTCACAATAAGCATGGAAAACAAGTGCCATCATTGCTCCTTTTACAGGAACCAAACAGGAGGGAGTTGAAGTAAATTGTATAAGGTCACATGGCTGGTAGCACTAGTGCGGGGACCCACACTCAGCTCTATGTGGCTGGAGACTGTTCCTCACCCTGATACCATCTCCACAGACGGCTTCATGTCCCTCACAACTTCAAAAGCCTTAATAAGTGGCACTCTCTGCTCTCTAGAACTTTAAAGTCTGAGCTTAAGAGTGAATGTTTGTGTCTTTGCTAAGGGCATGTGGCAGAGACCCTAACTGCCCCTCAACTTTACTTCTCTCCTGGGATAGTGTGGTTAAGCTGTGGTCAGTGGGACTTGAATGGAAATGACACATTTGCCTTCTTGAGAAAGGGGTATGACTTCGACACTCGTCCCGTTCTCTGGCTGATGAGCAATCCTGGACCCCAGAGAAGAGGGCCCTGAGAGGATGGCAAGAACCACCGGGAGTCTGCCTCACTGACCTAACTCACCCCAGCATGGTTTTGCCCAGGCTCTTATGTGGGAGAGAAATAAACTTGTGTTTATGCTACTGTTATTTTATATCTTAGCTATGGAGCAGAATTTATATTCTAAGGTAGGCTACCAAGAAGGTGTGAATAGAGTGCTATGGAGTCTTTGAGAAGAAACAATTATATTTTAGAATGTATGTTTTTCATTACTTGCAGACCTCTGTTACTGAGTGCTTTTTTCCCTCTAATGTTAAATAGTAAAATTGAGTTAGCTAAGTGTGGGAAGAGTATAAGATGCCCAGAGCAATGTTCCCAGAAACAGGACTATCTGCAAGATTTTCTCCTTGGGTCTTTACATATACCTAGATCTTAGTTGATTGTGGATTTTCTTTTTTCTTTTTTCTTTTTTTTAAGATTTTATTTATTTTAGGGAGGGGAGGAGAAAGAGAGGGAGAGAAACATCAATGTGTGGTTGCCTCTTGAGCACCCCCACTGGGGACCTGGCCTGCAACCCAGGCATGTGTCCTAGATTGGGAATCGAACTGGCCACCCTTTGGTGTGTAGGCTGGCACTCAATACACTAAGCCATACCAGCCACGGCTGATTGTGGATTTTTAACAAAACAGGGAAAATAAGACCTATGCATACTATAGGCTGGCCCAGATGAAAGCTCTAAAACTCTGAGAGCTTCTTTAAAGTTATCACAGACTATAATGAAAACAGAAATACCCTACCCCATCCATGTTGTCTGTGTCTTCCCACTCCAAGTATTTTAGTTATTAGCTTCCTGTAATGTCCATATCAAGAGGCATTTTTAAAAAAGAAGATGTATAGGTTATTTCTGCAATGTTTTAGTCTGTTTTTTTTTACTTATAAATGTATACCAACAATTTTATAGTTACTATCTGAATTTTGTGTAGAGATGACTCAATATAAAAAGGATTTTTCTAAATCAACAAGACAAACAAAACACCATTGAAAATGTAATGCAAGAGATGAATTTCATAAATGGTCCCAACCAATGGCCCCTCTGTATCCAGGCACAGGGTGGTGCCCTGTCACACTGACGCTGAGCTTTGGCTAATGGGAGGGGATTATCTGCACAAACAGAGCAGAGAGCAGAAAAGGACCTGAGTCTTCCTCTTTCCTCTGCCATGGTCATGAAAATAAGCCTGGGCCAACCTAACGGAAGAAGAGACCACGTAAGCAAGCTAGCTCCATCTTAAGCCTGCCAGCTCGCGTGACCCACCAGCTGACTACAGATGCATGAGTGAGCCCATTACCGGCTGTGCTCAGCTATGCAAAACCACCTGGCTGACCTGTAAACTCTGAGAAATAATAAAAATCTTTGCTGTAATCAAAACAATCAAAAGTTTTTGCTGTAAGTTGCTGAGTTTTGAGGTAGTCTGCTACTAAGTAGTGGCTTACTGATACAGATAAAAATAGGAAAAGG